TGAGCCACCACGCCTGTGGGAGAGTCTTTAATCTCAGTTCCCTACACTCTTACAAATGAAGTCCGTTCCTTTTAGAAAAGATTGGGAGCTCACTCATTTAAGACCCAGCTCTATCCCTGGGCAAAATCTCTGAGCCAAGGCTCTAGGGATGGGGACAGTGGAGTGCTTCTCTTTGAGCGACTCTGCTGCTTTAGGAGAGAAGGGGGAGGTGCAGTGGGCTATATAGCCTCTGGCGTTGCTTTGCCTCTCCTGGCATGGGACCTCCACTTTATAAACAAGCCAGAGTCAGGGCTCTGTGGGCCCCAGTATTCTTTGCTTGCCATGCCCAAGGCCAAGCTTCCATTCCATGTGTGGGGGCTGGGTAGGAGATATGAGCCATTACCTCTTAGCTGTACTTGCTGAGAACTTAGCCTCAGCAGCAGGTAGGTGGGGGCAGGATAAGAAATGCTGACATCCTGCTCTTCCTGGGAAGGTACCATAGCCCTCTGCTGAGAGCTGGGTGGAGTGGGCAGGCCCGTTGTCTTGGCTGTACCGTATGGAGTGGAGTTTCCATCACCCTGAGCTGGATGAGGCAGGGAGGCAACAAGTTATGTTTCACACACCATGACTCTCATTTTTCTTTGGGGTTTTAGTAACTTTTCCTCATTAAATATTTCTTCATTCACTGTATATCCTTCAAAACATTTCCAGAGACTTAAATGGTTGGGTTTTTTTTCAGTTTCATTAGTTAGTGGGTCCATGCTAAAAGGCACTGGTCTCCCCCTCCCCAACCCAGGGTCTTGTTACTGTATTTGCTTATCTATTTGATTAGTGACTGCCATGCTAGAAGTCTGTCTTCTCTAATATTTAGAAAGCTTTTTTAACCTTAATTCCAAAAATCTGATAAAGATTATGTAGATTATTATTAAAGATATAAGGCCAGGTGTGGTGGCTCACACCTGTAATCCCAGTACTTCGGGAGGCCAAGGCAAGGCGGGAGGATTGCTTGAGCCCAGGAATTTGAGACCAGCCTAGGCAACAGAGTGAGATCCTGTCTCTACAAAAAAAAAGTAAAAAAAATTTGCCGGGTGTGGTGGCATGCACGTATAGTCCAAGCTACTCAGGAGGTTGAGGCAGGAAGATCGCTTGAGCCCAGGAATTCGAGGTTACAGTGAGCTCTGATCATGCCACTACACTCCAGCCTGGGAAAGAGAAAGATATAAAACTGCTAAATAAAATATTAGTAATTATCAATCTAGTAGTGATTCATATGTATAGTTGTAAGTGGGGCTTGTTTCTGGAATGCAAGGATGGTTCCCGATAAGAAATCTAATTCTGGGCTGGGCGTGGTGGCTCACACCTATAATCCTAGTAGCTGGGAGGCTGAGGCAGGAGGATCGCTCAAGGTCAGGAGTTCAAGACCAGCCTGAGCAAGAGTGAAACCCCGTCTCTACTAAAAATAGAAAGAAATTAGCTGGACAACTAAAAATACATAGAAAAAATTAGCTGGGCATGGCGGCACATGCCTGTAGTCCCAGCCACTTGGGAGGCTGAGGCAGAAGGATTGCTTGAGCCCAGGAGTATGAGGTTGCTGTGAGCTAGCCTGACACCATGGCACTCTAGCCAAGGCACAGAGCAAGACTCTGTCTCAAAAAAAAAAAGAATAGAAATCTAATTCTGTTTTTGACCAGGTACGGTAGCTCATGCCTGTGTTCCCAGTGAGCTATGAGCGTGCCACTACACTCCACTACACTGGTAACAGGGCGAATCCATATCTAACACACACAAAAAGAAATCTAGCTACAAATTATTGGTATAAAATACTGTATATGAAAACTATCTTTATATGCAAATAATGTGATTATGTTCTTAGAAAAGCTGAATGATTCCAGCAAAATTCTCCTAGAATTAATAGAATATTAAAGTTTTATAATATATTGTAGAAGTAAGTCTAACAGTAGCCAAAAAGATTATACAAAGGGCAGTATTGAGTTCAGGGACTTGCTTTAGCAGATATTAAAACTTATTACAAAGCCACTGTATTTAAAAACAAAGAAGTGGCCGGGCGCAGTGGCTCACGCCTATAATCCTAGCACTCTGGGAGGCCGAGGCGGGCGGATTGTTTGAGCTCAGGAGTTCGAGACCAGCCTGAGCAAGAGCGAGACCCTGTCTCTACCAAAAATAGAAAGAAATTAATTGGACAGCTAAAAATATATAGAAAAAAAATTAGCCGGGCATGGTGGCGCATGCCTGTAGTCCCAGCTACTTGGGAGGCTGAGGCAGTAGGATTGCTTGAGCCCAGGAGTCTGAGGTTGCTGTGAGCTAGGCTAACGCCACAGCACTCACTCTAGCCTGGGCAACAAAGTGAGACTCTGTCTCAAAAAAAAAAAAAAAAAAAGAAGTGATATTGACACTGTAATAAAACAGTGGAACCAGAATAGAGAGTCTACCAAAAGATCCTAGTATGTTTCAGAACTTAATATTTGTTAAAGTTGGTACACATCCCTTATCTAAAATGTTAGGACCAGATGTTTCTGAATTAATCTTTGGGTTTCAGAAAGACAATATGGTACAATTACTGACCTCTCCAGCAGGATCTGGGAAAATGCCTTGTTGTTGAATCAATAATTCTTCAAGTGACTTGCATAAGTAGGGTAAATTAAAATGGCATAAAAATGTAATGTCATTTCATTTTTTGCCACCAAATGAGTTTTTGGGGAAAACTTTTGTTTTCTAGAGCCTTTTGGATTTCAGATTTATAGATAAGGGATTATAGAGGTATATGCTAATTCAGTGGGAAAATAGTGGTTTATTTTATAAATTTCTGGAAAGTTAGACCCCCTGCCTCATACCATAAACAGGTTAAGTATCCCTCATCTGATAATCTGAATTTTGGATTTTGGAGTAGGAATGCCCAGCTGGTAAGTATAATGTAAATATTCCAAAATCCAAAATGGTTCTGCTCCCAAGCATGGTGGATACTGAATCTCAATCTGTATTAAATTCTAGAAATTTTAAATGTGAAAAATCAAGATTTGAAAATACTTAGAAGATTATTTGTTTACCTTGAGCAAGCCAGGAAACCCAAAGGCCAGAAAGGAGTTGACCTCACAGAAACACTAGGCATGTGGCCCGGCCTGCATATCAGAGTGCTCAAAGTCGCTGGTGGGCAGGAAGTGCCAAGGGACACAATACATTCTTTTTCTTTCATCCACAGTAAAAATACGCAGCAGTGTGGTAACATCCAGTGTTCATGGGCAGGCAACAGGACCAGTTCATTGATTTAATGCAGGTGGAAGAAGCGTGACTTGCAGATTTTTTATTGAGTAATTGGGCACTATCACCTTGGGGAACCTGTCTGGTTAAAGTTAAAAACACCTACATGGAAATATATAAGCTTATTCTGGTGTTGTTTGGTTATTGTAGCGAAAATCTGGAAACAATGTAAACATACATCAGTTAAGAGAATTTGTGTATCCATCTGGGCATCTGTGGGGGAGGATAATGTGTTGGCAAGTGAGAAAGAGTTGCTGAGGAACAGGTCTGTAGTAGTGTGTTCGTTGTGTATCTTTAACTTATGAGCATGCATGAGGTCTGTTAATACTTTCCCCAGTCACAGAAAAAACGTGTAAAGAAATAAATGAAGGTGGAGGGCAGGAGTGGAAAGAGCCAGTGAGATGGCTTCCTGAAACATGCCAATACAGTTGGCTGGGGCGCAGTAGGGTTCCTGGCAATGGGCTTTCCCACCTCAGCAAAAATAGCTTTATCATCCTCTCTCTGCTTATGGTTTTATGATGATGATAGTGAGATTTGCCTGGACTCCCACCACTGAGGAAGTGACCCAGCATGTTGGTGTACATCCTTCCAGCCAAAATGGCTCTAGAACACTATACAGCCTGCCCCATCGCACACCTTTCTTACTGTGCCAGTGGAGAGATGAGTCTGATTTTAAGGGGTTGCTTTATGTTCTTTTGAATGTATGATTTATTTAACCACCTCTCTACTGAAGAACATTTATGTACTTTCCTATTTTTCACCACTACAAGCAGGTGCATGTATATTTCCAATTCTTAAACTTAGGATAGGTTCTGGGAAGAAATTACTAAGACAAATTTTTATTTTTGATAACATTCTATCAAACTGCTTTCTAAGAAATATGTAAACAGTTGACCCACCAAGCAGAGAAGTGTCTCTTCAACCTTGCTTTACTGAGAATAATTCTTTTTTTTTTTTTTTTTTTTGAGACAGAGTCTCACTCTGTTGCCCTGGCTAGAGTGAGTGCCGTGGTATCAGCCTAGCTCACAGCAACCTCAAACTCCTGGGCTCAAGCAATCCTCCTGCCTCAGCCTCCCAAGTAGCTGGGACTACAGGCATGCGCCACCATGCCCGGCTAATTATTTCTATATATTTTTAGTTGTTCAGATAATTTCTTTCTATTTTTTTTAGTAGAGACGGGGTCTCGCTCTTGCTCAGGCTGGTCTCGAACTCCTGAGCTCAAACAATCCTCCCGCCTCGGCCTCCCAGAGTGCTAGGATTACAGGCGTGAGCCACCACGCCTGGCCGAGAATAATTCTTCATCCTTGGAATCCTATGGGTTAAAAGGACATTTATCATTTAATTATATTGTGAGACATTTGTATTCCTGCTTTTAGATCTTCCTGTTGATCGCAAAGTGCTCTTTGCCTATTAGGGCAGCTAGCTCCTTGCACAGTTGGCTTCAGTAGGTTTCTTAATTTGTTCACTGTTTATAGTTTTTATGTAAGCAAATCAGATTTCTGCAGTACAGCTGTAAAGATAACATAGATCTGTATTTTTAATCAATAACATACAGTAAGTATGGTGTGGAAGGATAGGGCATTTGAACAAGAATCAGATCAGACCGTGGTTCCATTCATTGGTGGGGCTGAGCCCCTGATGGGGGTGCGCAGGTATGGGGGTCCCCTTTGATTTGGCGGGGTGGGGGTGGGGGCTTGCAGGGCACCCCGAGCAGCCTCTCCAGCCCCTTCTGCCCTGTCCCGTAGCTCATGATGGAGCAGTCCAAGAAGTCCTCGCTCATGGTGGCCCGCAGTATCCTCAACAACAAGCTCATCAGCAAGAAGCTGGAACGCTACCTGAAGGTGAGGCGCAGGTCCCAGCCGTTCCTGTCCCCAGCCTCGTCCCGCACGTCCTCCCCCCTTTCAGTGTCCGCGTCCCTCTCCACAGGGCGAGAACCCTTTCACCGACAGCCCGGAGGAGGAGAAGGAGCAGGAGGAGGCGGAGGGCGGCGCCCTGGACGAGGGAGTGCAGGCCGGAGCGGCAGGCGTCGCGGAGGGTGCAGAGGGCGCGCCGGCGCAGCCCCCAGTACCCCCAGAGCCGGCCCCCGGGGCCGCGTCGCCACCGCCGCCGCCCCCGGAGGAGGAGGATGCCGTGCCCCTGCTGGGAGGGGCGCTACAGCGCCAGATCCGCGGCATCCCGGGCCTCGACGTGGAGGACGACGAAGAGGAGGACGGCGGGGGCGCCCCGTGACCCGGACCGGGGGCGGGCGGGGCCCGTGTGGCAGAGGCTGGAAGCAGAGCTTAATAAAGTTCTTCCCACCCCACCTCCGTTGCCAGTCGGTGTGCGGCGCGGGCGGGGCGGCAGGGAGCCGGGCTTTGGGGGGCTGCGGCGCGACGGGCGCGCCTGCGCACGGGCGGGCGGGCCGGGCCCTGGGAGCCAGGCTCGACCGCAGTTCCTGAGACGCAGCGGACGCCGATCCTGCGCAAGCAGAAGGGGTGGCTAGGGGGCCGGGGGCGGGTCCTTCGTGAAGGTCAGCCAATGGCAGCGCGCGGAGGTAGTGACGTGTGCGCCTAGTCTTCCAGTAGCGGGCGGCGGGAGGTGCGTTGAACGCATGCGTCCCGTGGCAACCTAGAAAAAGGGGCTGCTGGCGGGCCGCGGAGACATGGAGCAGGGCTACGGAGGTTTGTGTCGGCTGTTTGGAGCGGGGAGGGGGGGGGGAAGGGCTCGTGCGGGTGGTACCGCCGCCGCCAGGCAGAGGGCCGCCAGCTGGGGGCTTCATCCCGAGCGCGGTTGCCGCAGGCCGGCCCTGCGGAGAGGCGGCCGCGCGCGCGCGCACCGCTCATTGGGCCTCGGCGCCGTCGTTCCCGGGGAACCGCGTGCGGATTGGCCGGCGGGGCCGGAGGAGGCGGGCGGGGCTCGGCGGCGGGCGCTGCGGTAGGCTTCGGGGGGCGCCTTGGCCGTCCCGACCATTTTGCCCGTGGCCCCGGCGCGGCCCGTACCGACCCAGGCCGTCGGCGTTCACAGCCCCGCCTTCCTCTTCTGCGGACGCCACAAAATGGCGGCGCCGGGGGCGGAGCTACGGCGGGTCCCGGGGTCCGGCCCGGGTCGCCGGGACTGCTGCTGGGGCCGGGCGCGGGGCTCACCGCTCTCCAGGCTGCCGGGCCTGTCCCGAGCCTTCGGGGTTTGGCCGGGCCTCTGTTCGCTCTCGGGGCCCGAGGCGCCTGTCCCGGAACTGTCCGGGCGGCGCGGGGCCGGACCCTTAGCCGCGGTGCAGGAGGCACGGGACTTAGCCACCCGGGGCGCCACCTGTGTGCCTGGTGCGTGCGGGCCGTGGGAGCAGAGACCCGGCGCGGAACGAGACACTGAGAGACAAATTCTGAGTGTTTTCTTGTGCAAAGCTGCAAACTTGATGTGCCTTGGGCCTGGTGACAGATCGGCCGTTCTTTAGGCAGTCTCTCGTGGTGGACTCAAGGAGCCAAAGGGCTACGTGGGAGGGAACGTGCCTTTTCCCCACTTGGCTTCAGTGCTTGCCCACAGTCGGACTGACTTTTGCGAGCTACCTGCTCCCAGCCTGTGGAGTCAGAGCCTCCTGGGAGGCCTTTGCTTTGTGCCAGAAGCCAAGTTTACCCACAGAGAACAGTTGGAACACGCGGTTAGGACTTGTTCGGTTGCAGAGGCTAAGGAAGACTCAGATCTTGAGAGGTGGCAGAGTAGCAGGATCCTAGCAGCAGGGATTACAGAAACAGAGGTCCCAAGGTGAAACCATGTATGGTGTGCTTCGGGTGTCACCTGGGTCCTAGGGGAGGCTCAACCTGCCTCTGCCGGCCTTCGGCAGTCTGGATCTCACCATTCTTTGGCTTCCCTCCCATCAGGTCTTCCTGCAGGTGCTCTATTCCTTTTTTATGCCCGTAGTTTGGAGAGGTTCCCCCCACCCCGGAAACCTTTCAGATTCAGTGAAGATACTGTAGCCTCTGATTTTTCTGTCTCAGGGTGTTTTGAGGTTAAGTGAGTAGTGTGTGCCACTCAGACCAGAGTCTTACAGAGAAGCAATCAGTGCCGTGACGTAGGTCGGTTGCTGTTAGAATCTGCACTCTGCCTTTCTATGGAAGGCTGTGTAGTGTGACAGGGAGGGGTGGGCGTAGCCTGTAGAGGTGAGCAGAGGGGAAACCCTGGATCAAATCCCCTAACCTCTGAGCCTTCGCTCCCTTGTCTCTGAATAGCATGGGGGACAACAGCGTTTGCTGAGTGCCTGCCATGTGTTGGCACACGTTAGCCACTCAGCTAGTGGTGGGTGATGTCCTGGTAAGGGGGACAAGAGTATATTCTTGTTTCATCAAAGTGAGATCATCTGACAGGCATCAGTGGCCTTTTTTGCCCAGCTCTGTGCTGGGCTCTAGCGACACAGAATTGAAGAGAAGACAGTTCCCACTGTCCTGCCTGGAGGGGCCAGACAGATGCTGCTATGGTGGGGGATCTTGAGGAGTGAGGAGTGTCATCTGATGCTGCTGTAGGTCCAGGGCAAGCCCTGGGACTCGGCCCAAGGGAGCAGTGGAGGAAGTGAGGCCTACAGAGGAGCAATTTATGTCACTCAAGTCCCAAGTTCGTCTCTAGTTATGGGGTACCGGTGGTGGTCTGAGCGGGTTTCCCAGCCGTGTAGTGGCTGGGCCAAATGGGGTGGGGGGCTGAGCCTTAATGCTGAGTGGCTTGTCCTGGGTCATCAGTTGTAGATTGAGGCTTGGAGGGGTGAGCTCCTCAGCCAAGGTCTCACCACGGGGCAGAGCTGACTTCCAAGCTTGCTCCCCTCCCCTCTTTTTTTCTGCTTTGGCCTCAGCTGAGTAGAGTGTGGGGATGCAGTCAGCCAGCTGTGGGGTGGCTTTTATAGGGCCACGGTCTCGTGGTTATGCTGCCTTGTCGCAAGGCTAGCACCAAACTCCTGCAAGGAGATCTCTTCAGGCGGTTTCACAGATGGGATTTTAACTCACAGGATCTTCTTTTCACAGGCTATGGGGCGTGGAGCGCAGGACCTGCCAACACCCAGGGTAAGTGGGTCCTGCCTTGTGGGTGAGGCGTGGGCGTCTCCCACACCCAAGGCTGAACCTCCTGCTCATTGGAGTAGAGTGGAAGTAGTAGGCCAAGGGTCAGCAAACGTTTTCTGTACAGGGTCAGATAGTAAATAGACTACACGGTCTCTAGTACAAAAGCAGCCATAGATATGTTAAAGAATGGACGTGGCTGTGTGCTCATAGTTATTAATGGGCACTGAAATTTGAAAAATCATAATTTTTGCATGTCGTGAAATACTTTGTTTTGGTAAAATATTTTTATTCTTTTATTCTAAGTAAACAACTGAGGATATAATCTAACATTTTTCTTTGCTATAATTAATAGGCCACTTTTTAGTGCAGCTTTAGATTTATAGAATTTACCTGATAGTAGCAAGAGTTCTGTACGCCTCCCCCACCTCTGCCCCAGCCATTTTTTCTTTTATTCAGATCATGCATTGATGTGATACATTTGTTACAATTAATAAGCCAGTGTGGATAGATAATAACCGTAGTCCATAGTTGACATTAATATTTACTTTGTGTCCTATAGTTGTGAATTTCAACAGAAGTATAAATGGTGCGTCTCATGTCAAAATTCATCTGTCATTGAATATTCTTTGGAATTTTTTCCCCCCAACCATTTAAAAAATGTAAAATCCATTCTTAGCTCAAGGGCTGTACGGAAACAGGCAACGGGTTAGATTTGGCCCTGGGGCCTTTTGCTGACCCCTGCTCTGGAGTCTGGACCGTGATGCTGAGGTCGTCTGGAGGACCAGAATGTGCTCTCCGGTTCAGAGGCACCATGGGGGGCAGGGTTGCTCTTCTCCCCATCACCAGGCGTCGCAGGAGGAGCCTTTCCAGGTTTCTCATGGCACATAACATCCCCTTGCTCAGTTGAGTTGAGGACGTGACTTTCCACCAGTGCCTTCCTGTGCAGTTGGCAGCACCTGAGCTCTGGCTCCTGGTGGGAACCTGCCCTTTGTAAGGGCTCTGCCTGGGGCCCTGGCCCGACTGGCCTCTCGGCTGGAGGCCCACACTGGATGAGCTTCCGGGAGAGCGTGCAGTGTCCTTTCCCCTGCCCTGTTGGGGGGAGTCAGGCTTGCCTGGGAGAGTGGCTTTGACTTTGCTCAGCCAAACGTTCTGCAGGAAACACGTCGTGCAGGAGCACAATAACAGGCAGCCAAGGGTGCGTCCCTGAGCTGCGACCCTGGGGCTGTGGATGGTGGAGTGAGGTGACAGCTGGCCTGCAGTGGGGTGGTGTCGGGTGCCTTCGTTCTGCAGACAGAGCTGTTGTGTGTTTTCGTTTCCCCTAAGGTGCATATGGAACCAGTGTGGCCGGCTGGCAAGGTGAGTCCTTCTGTGCGTCTGCAGGTGGGCAGCTGGGCCACTGGTCAGCCCCCAGTCGGTTGGGATACAGGCACCCCAGCCTGCACCCTAGCTGTGCTCACACTCTCCTGCAGGCCGGGCAGGCCAGCCCTCAGGGAGGTTTGGCCCAGATTTCCTGGCTCTGTTGCTGAGGACACGGTTGGCCAGGGCTGCTGTTCGGAGCACGGAGTGCTGTGGAGGGCCGAGGCCAGGGCGGCCTCAAGGGGGCTTGCTGGACGGGGTTGGGGCTGAGTGGCAGCCCTTTGTGGGGTCTGTCAGCAGCCTGAACTGCCATTTCTGGGCTCTAAGCAACCTCTGGGTTTGCATGGAAGCCAAGTCCTATAGTCTGGCATAGAATAGCTGCCGCTCACTGCCAAGGCTGCCCTTCCTGTTGCCTCTCGGCAGGTCACAAGCGCAATATAAAGCGATGCCAGCAGTGCTTGGTCCCATGACCCTTTACCTTCTCTGTGGGTGGTGGGTGCTCCTCTCCAGAACTGTCCGCCACCGACAGGTCTCATGGCTGCTAAGGTCTGACTTGGCTCCTCCTCCCTACAATAGGTTATGAAAACTACAATTATTACGGCGCCCAGAACACCAGCGTTACCACAGGAGCAACCTACAGCTATGGCCCAGCCTCCTGGGAGGCCACCAAGGCCAACGATGGTGGCCTGGCAGCAGGGGGCCCTGCTGTGCACATGGCCTCTTTCGGCCCAGAGCCATGCACCGACAATTCTGACTCCCTCATTGCCAAGATCAACCAGCGCTTGGACATGATGTCCAAGGAAGGAGGCAGGGGCGGGAGCGGCGGCGGTGGGGAGGGCATGCAGGACCGGGAGAGGTGATTATGGACCCAAGCCCTTCCCCTGGGACCCTGCATGCCCACCTTTGTGCACTTGGGAGTGGGCACCTGTTC